CACTAAGACCGGCTGCTGCTAAAACTATTCACAGATCACAAGGTGATACTGAAACTACAATAGACCCTTTCAAGGTTAATGACGCCATTTTCCATAGGGTGCTACTAGACTGGGGCGAGCGCGCGGCCAAAGCAATGGCGGGAAATCAGTATGCCAAGTCATGCTCGATGTAGCGTAGGATTCTTCGATAACGACAAACGATTTCCAGATTTGTGGGTTGTAAAATCTCATGTAGAACAACTGCAATTTCATAGGTGGCCTAAGGATCCAAAATTAGCAGCCTTGTGGAAAAAACAAGTCGCCAAAGGAAGAAGCGACAACTTCGATCCCGCACCTGGATCGAAGGAACGAAGGAACCTTTGTCTGCTCAAACCACTTTCCGGAGGGAAAGAGAACACTTAGAAACTCCAAACCGGACTTCCCATCTCTGTATTTGGTTTTGACCGATTTTCTGAACAAACCTTCACCCAAAAAGCGCAAAACTAGAGAGACTTTGCCTCAGAAAGATTTTGAAGTTGAGGTGACAAATGCCGAGACAGACAATGAAGACAACATAGATGACTTTGACTTGAGGATATCAATGCGCTTTGATCAAATATCGCGAGAAGCAGATGTAAAAACCTTTACTGGTCTTCCTTCAACTAAAGTCTTTAAGTTCTTATTTGACTATTTATTTGAAAAAGCACAGCACATGCAATATTGGAGGGGACCAAAAGAAACAGCAAACGAAGCTCTAAAAAATCTCAATGCTCCTACTCTGCCTATTCGAAAAGGCCGTCCAGGACCTGGTCGAAAGCTTGACTTACAACAAGAATTCCTTCTGACATTGATGAAATTAAAACTAGCCTTAATTGATGATGATCTAGCCTTTAGATTTATGGTGTCTACTCCAACAGTTAGCAGTATATTTATTACCTGGCTCAAGCTTATGTCAAAAGAACTGTCAGTCCTCATTATCTGGCCAAGTAAACAACAGGTCAAAAACACTTTACCTACCTGTTTTAGAAAGCTCTACCCTAAAGTCAGATGCATCATTGACTGCTTAAATTTGGCTGCAGCCCTTTGGAGTGAATATAAACATCACTACACATGCAAGGTTTTGGTTGCCATTACTCCAACTGGAGCTATAAGTTATGTTTCTCCTGTCTATGGAGGGAGGGCTTCTGATTTATTCATTGTCCGAGACAGTGGATTTTTAAACATGATTGAGCCATACGATGAAGTAATGGCAGATAGGGGCTTTAAAATAAGARAAGATCTGATGATGTCCATGGCTAAGCTATGCATACCACCAAGCTGTGCTTCATCCATGCAAATGCTACCCTCTGATGTCAGGAAAACATCAAACATTGCTAATGTTCGTATATATGTAGAACAGGCCATTGGACGTATTAAACTTTTTCGTACTTTGAAACATGAACTTTGCATTTCACACCTACCACTAGTTGATGACATTGTACGAGTTTGCTGTGCTCTGTGCAATCTACTCCCTTCTTTGTGCGAATAAGTGGGATTGAAATCTATCCAGATGTTGCTGTTGTAAAACTGAACAGTCACATAGTATATTTTCTGTTAATGTGAGATTTATCAGTTTATTGCATCCAGCTCAACTACAAACTGCACAATGCTAGAAATAAGTATTACACAATATTGTACAATAATTTGTATTATTATTTTGTTCGCAAAGTATTTCATGGTTTATGAAATGCACTTGACACAGGTTTGACATATAGCCAAAAAGTGGCAGTTATTGTAAAGTTATAGATTATATTTCATACTTGTTTTTATATACCCATAAGAAGTTCACATTAAATAATGGGATTATTTATATTATTATTATTACAGATAAAGTGTTATTGTTTGTATATAATAAAGTGACCAAGCTTGACTGACAATAAAAATTCAAATGTAAATCATATAAATGATATATTATAAATGTCATGTTAATGGTTATTTACACTTATTGAAATACAGTCAAACCTCTATTAAGCAGCACTMTATTCAACGGTCATCTCTATTAAGTGGTGAAAGTTTAATAGTGGTCCCACTGTATTGCATTTACATTGAGAACATGAACAAAAAAGTTGTCAATGCAATTATTATTGCCTAATTATATATTAAAGTTAATGAGAACATTATGTACATACAAGTTCTGAGGAACTGGAAATGTCTTCATGGTTACTACACCATGCATGAACAGCATTCTTACATACAGTATAAATGTGTTCACCACCCACTGGTATTGACGAATCTGAACATGAACTGCAAACATTGGGCTGACTGAAATTCAAACCACTCGTACTTGGTTCATCAGAAAGATTGGTGAGTACATCAGAAGCYGGATGTTCTGCCAATTCCAGATCAGACAATCCAGGGGAGAGTTCATCTAATTCGGTGTCACTGTCTGAACCCATCTGCACTGCATCAATTAGGCAGCTATTGCATGCCCACGAATCCAGTGCATCAGCCTCATCTTCCTCTAGACCAGCRCAGGGTAGGTGCCACCATGTGCTGCAGATATCACAACATATGCTGTTTTCAGCTGATGCATCATTTATCTCTGGCTCTTCCAGTATGATGTTGTCGCATTTTGGACAGAGATAAATGTCCCTGTAGCCTAACAAGCATGGTAGCACATAGGATTTATAAAATAATGTGATATTGTTGATCACTTGTGCACAAAAGTCTCCATCAAATTTCACCAGCTCATACAAAGGCAGTCCACCATTTGTCCAAACAATAAAATATCCATGCTGTGTCCCGGTCACCCACATCTGTATCTGCATCTGAGTGTAGTACTTGTGTGACTTCTTTAATGTGGGAGATTCACTTACCACTTCAAGAAAGTCAACTTTATTGCAAGTGGATGTAAGGTGTATATCATCCTCTCTTACTGAATATGGGCACTTTACTTCTATTATTGCTGGTGGGCAACACTTGCATACTAGCATTCCATCAGGTGAGGCGGCAATGAAGGGATAATCCCCTTTCACAACAAGTCCACAGGTTTTCAGTCCATTTATGCCATTCRCATGCTTTGATGCAACATCAGACAGAAAACTCTTGATTGCATCCTTCTCGTGCTGAGTTCCCCATTTAATTTGAGGTAGATGTGATATGTCCTTGCTCTTSTTCAAAMTTTTATGCWYAAGAGGWGTATATTTGACATTCTTTTTCYTGCTTTTCATAATTGACTCCATTTTTGTATGATAATCATGAATGCTGGAAGCTGTCATCCTCCCTTCCCTTTGATTGTACCATGATGGGTTAGACGTCTGCCCCCTTGTCTCTATCTCAATACGTCGAACTTGCTCTTTGCTCATTTGGCAATTCTCGATAAATGATGGTGCATTTTCCTCGCAGGTTTTGTCATTGTTTGCTGCAATACTCATAAACAATGTAGCCCTCTCCCTTAAAGGCTGTGGGAGGCCATCATCTTTTGCATGCTCTATCGAGTTCAGGATACATGCTGATGGGTCAAATTCTTTTATTCCATTGAGTAATGCAGATACCCTCTCATTTGTTAAGACCCTATCACTGGGTTTTCTTGGATCATAGGCTTTCCTCAGTTCTTGAGCATTTGCAGGATCGCTGTTTGTGTCCTTTCTAGACTTCTTATGTTTAACAAATTGCAACTTTCTCAATTGACTTGGTTCCACTTCTTTCTTTGTCCCTCTATTCCAGCCCTGAGGGATGCTTGTACACGATGGAGAAACATACCCGTTCCTTAGAGCATAGTTCAGTTTATAAAGGAGTGCAATGACGTGATTGCACACCTCACCAGTTCCTGCTATACATGTGCACCAAGAAGTAACGATTCTTGGTTTTTCTCTTGGCCCGTCCGTACAGATCCAGACTCTGTGAGGGTCGACGTTTAACCTTTGGGAAGGGCTAACATTGGCTTTCAAAAACACAAAGTTTTCACAGCAGACATGAT